AGTAAAAATGGTGAAACATTGTTGAAAAATGGTAAAACCCTATCAAAATCCGAACTCATAACTTCCTTTTTTATAAAACACAGGTTTTGATGGAATTGAGATCCACGGCGCTCATGGTTACCTGATCGAGCAATTCATGAAAGACCAAGTAAACGACAGGACTGACCAATACGGCGGATCTTTACAAAACCGCTGCCGATTCGCTCTAGAAATCGTCGAGGCGATCGTCAACGAGATCGGACCGGACCGAGTCGGCATCCGACTCACCCCGTTCACAGATTACATGGATGCCGGCGATTCAAATCCAGAAGCTTTAGGGCTTTACATGGCGGAATCTCTGAATAAATATCGGATTCTTTATTGCCATATGGTGGAACCAAGGTGGAAAGTGGAAGGCGAAAACGTAGAAACACCGCATAGTCTTGCCCCGATGAGGAAAGCGTTCAACGGGACGTTTATTTCGGCCGGCGGGTTTGAGATGGAAGACGGGAATACGGCGGTGGCGGAGAATCGGACGGATCTTGTTGCTTATGGTCGTTTGTTTTTGGCGAATCCGGATTTGCCGAAACGGTTTGAGCTTAAGGCTCCACTTAATAAGTACAATCGGGAGACATTTTATACGTCTGATCCTGTTATTGGCTATACTGATTATCCGTTTCTCGAGACTAAGGTTTAAGTCTGTTAGATTTGATGGATGAGATTTCAGATTTGCGCGGAAACCGCATGATTTGTTATGAATTTGCTAGTTTATCATACGTATAAACTATTATCATCCCAACCAACTTAGGTGTTTTGGTTTAAAAGAGCCTTGTATTTGCTTTCTAAGAGAACTAATTCATATGTTTAGTGTTTAAAATGTCCCTATGAGAAAAATGAATGTGTCACCTGGTGAACCCCTTCCTAGTCAAATAGGTTTAAAATTAATAATACGTCATCTCATCATTTAAAAAGAAGACACGTCCCTCCATCAATTAAGATCTCTCTCTCTCTCTCTCTCTCTCTCTCTCTCTCTCTCTCTCTCTCTCTCTCTCTCTCTCTCTCTCCATGTTGTCGGAAAACCCTAATCCTCCGTTTCCATCCACTGGTGACTGCATGTATCACTCCCTTTACCCTCTTTTCTAACATCACTACCAATCCACCATAATTTGCCACCAAAATCGTCCACCAGTTTTAAGAAAAATGATTCCATATCATGTTTAGGATGTTGGTTCATGCCCTACAAAACACACACAATCACACACACTTAGACTCATGTAATGTAGATTTTGATTTTTACAACCTGAACACTCTTCATTGATCTCACAATTTACATTAAATAAGCAACAAACAAACTTGATCCTAAAGAAAAGTAACCTAACCTACTGCTACCTGAACTTCCTAAAATCCAGGAAGAACAAGCCCATGACTTGTGACCTGGTAAACTCTAATAAAACTTGTAAAATAAAAGAATAAATGAGTGAGTTACAATATGTTAAGGGCATCCACAATGTATTAAACTTGTTAGAGTTTAATGGATAAACTTGTTAGAGTTTAATAGATTGATATATCATCATTTTACTTGCTATATAACTCTATATTAATTTTTCTAGAATGCATAGAACTTGATAGAGTTCAATGGAATATATATATATTTAATAGTTACAAGGTTTCCTTTTTCCCATTGAAGAGTTCAATGGCCATTGAAGTCCATATCCATTGAATGTCAACATAGCATCCCACAATGTTAGAGTTTAATCAACTGAATGTCAATTACATGTCACCGCATTCAACTCTTCCACTGAACTATGCATTGTGGATGCTCTAAACAATTGTAAACATGTGAACTGATCCCCAACTTTGACCCATGACCCGGGTGATCCGCGAACAAACCGATTAACCCAACATAGAATTTTAAGGTATCGAACCAGTTAAATTTGTTATACATGTGTAAAGTTCTTCGAGGGTGTATGGAAGATTAGCTCAATCGACTCGGTTCCTCATCTTGATTCTAAACCTGATGATAAAGTTGATGACGATGTGGTGATACGAGAAATCGAAATTGAAATTGGCTATAGCATTATGCAGACCAGTGGAGTCAGTTGAGAACCTGCATTGACAAAGATGAATACACTGCCACCATCCCTACTAGCAAAGGGTGAGCCACTGTTGTCGCCGCCTCCGCCAAATGAATTACTGAAACTTAACACCTCTCATGTCGGAGAGATCTCCGCCACCTCCCACTCCCCTAAGTAAATTAGAAACAAAATGTTAAAGTTTGGTTCGTTTTGGGTTGGTAGGACGGATCTGAATCTGTATTTAAATGAATTTATGGGCATTCACGCTATGAAGGTCTTCGTCGGGCAGTACTCCGGTCACATTTTTTTCTTTTTGCCTTGTAATGAAAAATCCTATGGCGGCTCTGGATTTGCGTCTCTGCTAAATATGAAAAAACTCTACAAACCTAATCGGTGCATCTGGTGGTATTGCCTAACCAATGGAGAAGTAGGTGGCTCCTTCCGGTCAAATCTCTCAAATCTATAGTTGTTGGGTGCTTCAACAGTTAATCTATGGCTAACAACATCGGTTGGGTCCTTGGTGGCCATGGTTAAAAGTTTCAGGCAAAAGAAAAATATAACCATGGCTACGAGAGAGAGAGAGAGAGAGAGAGAGAGAGAGAGAGGTTTGTTACAGTGATACTCTAAGGCTGAAGGGTATGGGTGCGGTTCCAGACCGCACTTTGTGCCACATAGACCAGGAACACCGCCCCCAGACCGCGGTCTGGTGCGGTCTTGGCCGCATTGCGGTCCTTAAGTGCCGCACTTTCTGATTGGTTGAGGGGAAAAAGGGAGCATCGTCGTTGTTGTTCTTGTTTTTTTTTTTGCTTTTTCTTTCTTTTATATATATATATATATATATATATATATATATATATATATATATATATATATATATATATATATATATATATATATATATATATATATATAACATCATTTTTTTTTCGCAATACAATCTCTTGTCTTTCTCAAAAAACCTTTTTAAAAAAATCATGTGTGGTTTTTTAAGTTTCTAAGATTATTTAAATGTCATGTGTGTGGTTTTCGTGTTTTATTTATTTATTTATTTATTTATTTTTGGTAATGCAACGTATTGTTTTTTTTTAGTTTTCAAGTAATGAAAAATTATGTTTTTTTTATTAAAATGGAAGTTTTATTAAATTAAAATAGTTAAAAAAAATAGAAGTTTTATTAAATTAAAATAGTTAAAAAACACACAAAAAAAAAAAAAAAAAAAAAAGTGTGGCACCACTCCCTTGGTGTGGCAAGAAACCACACTTGAGTGGTAAAAAATGACGTGACGCTTATGTGGCCGGGGAGGGAGTGCAGTTTCGGTGGCACCACACCCTCCAACCTAATGAGATTGTTGGTGAGAAAGTCTTTGAGACTTAGTTGGAAATACTTCTCTCGTATTTGGCATTAGAAACCGATTATACTGGGTGAGTTACTCAAATTAACAGATTCATGCCCCTAAAATGCAATATATATATATATATATATATATATATATATATATATATATATATATATATATATATATATATTCAGGTTCATTTGATATCATTCTAATTTTGTGAGACCGTGAGATCAAATCTAAAAATAATTTTAAAATGCAAAATAAATGGAAAAATCCAAAAATTCTTTTTTTAAATATTATTTTGGGAACTTGAATTAACTAAAAAAAATAAAATAAAATAAAATCCCGTTTTTTTTAAAAAATACGTGAAATATTCTAAATAGAATATTACACTGACATATTCTAAAAAATAATTTTAAAATGCAAAATAAATGGAAAAATCTAAAAATTCTTTTTTTAAATATTATTTTTGGAACTTGAATTAACTAAAAAAAAAATAAAAAAAATCTATTTATTTTGAAAAATACGTAAAATATTTTAAATAGAATATTACACTGTACATATTCTAAAAATAATTTTAAAATGCAAAATAAATGAAAAAATCAAAAAATTCTTTTTTTAAATATTATTTTCGGAACTTGAATTAACTAAAAAAAATTTTAAAAAAATAATAAAAAAATAAAAAAAATAAAAAAATGCGTCTCACGGTCTCACAAAATTAGGCCGTCTCACGTGAACCTAATATATATATATATATATATATATATATATATATATATATATATATATATATATATATATATATATATATATATATATATATATATATATATATATATATATATATTTATATATATGAAAAAGTGAATATATGTTAGAACCCACCTAAGTTTAGATATAAAAACATACAAACTACGTCGTTTGTTAAGTGTTTTTCAAAAAACAATTGCTATGTACGTGATTTGCTAAAAGAAACGAATCCTCCAAAAAGAATTACATATTTACCTGGATCAATTTTTTTCAAAAGACTTTCTTTTGATTATTCATTCTTTGTGTGTAGTTTTGTGAAATTCTCCAAGTTCGATTGCTACGTGAATTCCTTGGTTTCTCAGGTACGTGATTTTTTTTTTCAAAATCTTTTGTTACATGAAATTCACATAAGCTCAATTACAGTATTTAGGGATTCACTTTGGAGTTTGCGGCGGAAGAAAATACACATGTAGGTGAATGAAAGATAATTAAATAATTACATTAAATTGAAAAGTGATAGATTTATTCTAGAACTAGTTTATAACTCCTAGTTTATAACTCCTCTGAATCACGGTTATAAAATTAATTAAACTTTTATAATAAAAACTTAAAATTATTAATCAATTATTTTAAATAAATTATTAATTAAGAGATGTTTTTATTAGTTGTATGAAATTATAATCGTTGATTCAAATAAATATGTAAAATTAATTTTTAATATATATTAGATATTTTTTATTTGTGAATTAATGAAAACAGTAATATAAATTTAATATTGAATTTTAAATTTTAAATAGAGAATAAATACATTGACAAATAGCATCACATTAATGATGATGTCTAGTAAATTTAAAATAGAGAATTAATAGATTGACAAGTATCAACACATTAATTAAAAGGTGTAATATGATGACGCATGGCAAAACAACTACTCTTTTATTAGTATAGAGATTTCCAATAAGTAATAAGTAATAAGTAATAATTAATAATTGACACTCTCAATTTAATATTTTTCATTCATACAATAAAGACTTGAATACCTAATTAACCTTGCAATTACACTTGCATGTTTATATCATTCAATGCATTTTAAGTTACCATTCAATTCTAGTTTTTATATTGAAGTTTTCCTGTTTTATTTTTTAATTATTGCTGATTATTTTAATTTACCATTCAATTCTAGTTTTTATATTGAAGGTTTCCTTCTCTTTTTTGCCATTACTATTGTCTTATTAGTATCAATTGTTTATCATTGTCTCTATTTGTGCAGTACATAATGAATGAAACTGAAGTTGATGTTCACCCTATCGCAACACATACAATCGAATATGTTGACGTAGATGGTTTGTCAATAGCACCATATGAATCTGAAAAAATAAATCGGGTCGATGTGATCATTGATTTTGACAAAGATGAAGTTAATGATGAAAACATTTTGGAAAGGTTTTCGATACAACCAACGATGCGTACGCTTTCTATAATGATTATGCATTTACACATGGATTTGGTATGCATATTCATACTACATACAAAAATAAGGAAACAAATGAACCTTGTCGAAAGATACTTGTATGCGACAAAGAAGGTTTTAAACGGGAGGACGGTAATACTTCAAGTGGAAATGAGAAAACATGTCGTAGAGAAGTTAGAGTCGGATGCAAGGCAATGCTTCGAATTTCAAAAAAGAAGGATGGGAAATGGTTTGTGGACTTGTTTGACGACACACACAATCTTGAATTGAGCATCACGCCAACGAAGGTGATGAAACATCGGTCTCATACGAAGTTCCACCGTACAGTGGAATGTAAATCTCTCATGGTGCAACTTAATCAATCAGGGTTGAAACCTTCTCAAATTAAAAAGGCCATTAATGCAATAAAAACCTCAAATGAAGTTGATGTAACTTCAAAACAATGCGTTGATGTATTATCTGAGCAACGACAACACAACAAAGGAAGGGAGTTTTATGGACTAATAAAACATCTACAAGACAAAGCATTGGTGGATAATGATCAATATTATGTTGTGGATTTGTGCAGTGACGGGCGTCCTAAAAATATTGTTTGGGCTGATGGAAGATCAAGAGACAATTTTACTAAATTTGGAGATGTTGTCGTGTTTGATGTCACTTATATGACAAATAAATTCAAGATGCATTTTGCTCCATTTACTAGGGTGAACCATCATGGACAGTCTATACTTTTTGGTGGAGCGTTGCTAGAAAATGAAAATGAAGAAACTTTTGTATGGTTGTTTGAGCATTTACTAAAATGTATGTTTAGCAAGTATCCGAAGGCTATTATTACTATCAAGACAAATCTATGGGTAATGCAATAAAAAATGTTTCCAAACGCTCGACATCGCTTTTGTGCATGACATATAAAAAAGCATGAATTGGAGCACCTCCGACCATACGTTTCCAGTTATAGTGATTTTCAAGAATTATATAAAGAATGGGTAATGAGTGACACAATTGAAGAATTTGAAACGAGGTGGGAAGTTATAAGTGATAAGTATAAACTCAAAAACAATTGTTGGATAACTGGTATGTATAACCAACGAATACATTGGGCTAAAGCTTTTTTAAAGGATATTTTCTTGGCCGGTATGACAACAAGTGTACGAAGTGAGAGTATTAATTCATTTTTTGATGATTTTGTTAACTCGAGTACGATGTTGAATGATTTTTTAGTACAATATGACAAAGCGGTTTCGCCACGAAGGGCCGCCGAAGAAGATGAAGATTTCAAAACTATGAACTCGAGGTCGGTTCTTTCCTCAATACATCCAATTGAAGCAAAAGCAGGTGAGTGTTATACTCGAAAGGTTTTTGAGATTTTCAAAAAAGAATGGATAGAAGCTAATAGCAATTTAACGCATGAGACTCTAAGCAAAAGTACAGAAGAAATCAAGTATCGAGTTGGGCAACTGGACGTTGACAAAAAATATTGGCAGATTGTTAGCTTTTGTTTGTTAAACAAGATGCATGTCACATGTTCTTATGCTAAGTATGAGACATGTGGGATTTTATGCAAACATAGCCTATATGTGATGAAGAAGAGGCATGTTCACACATTTCCGAGTCACTACATTTTACCTCGGTGGCCCCTTAATGCTAGATATAAGGTGGGTAAACGTAGCATCGGACTCGAAGAAATAGATAACGAAAACGGAGTTAGTGCTTACATGTTATGGTGTGTTCGTTCAAATTTTAATAAAGTAATTGAACAAGCAAAAGACTCCCCTTCAGAAATAGAAAACATAAATAACATATTGATAAAGCTCTTACAAGAACAAGCAATTCGGAAAAAACCAATACCAGTTGAGAACGTATCTCAAGGTTCTTGTGTGAGAATTTCACAAGTTGATATGATGCCTCAGTTATTTGTCTGAGATCCCCTTGGTCCAACTAACACAAAAGGGCGTCCTAAAATTGCTAGTAGAATCAAGTCTTCTTTAGAAGTGCCAAAAAAACGAACATGCTATTACTGTCAAAGATCGGGTCATTATGCTACTAGTTGTTCTAAAAGAAAGGTACTTATAGTATTAACTTACTTTTTCATGATTTTAGAGTTCTTATATTTATATAATAATTTATTTATATTTTCATGTAACAGGTAGATGAATCGTTGCAAGAAAAATAATTGATGAGATACGTAGTTGATGTGAGAAAGTGAAAAATCTAGATGGTTCATGACATTTTGTTTTAGTTAATTGTTTTGGTTGATTATTCTTTTATCTTATTTTGGTTAATTGTTTTTTTTTCAGTTTTGGACATATATATATATATATATATATATATATATATATATATATATATATATATATATATATATATATTTATTTATTAAGGATATTACCCATTTCTTGAAAATGGTATACATTTTATAACACCGTGTACAATTTATTAAGCTTACAATGTATACGCCTTACAATGTATACGCATACACGCATGTATCATTGTAACGTATGGTCGAGCTTCTCGTGGAAAACCCTAATACCCTCTAGACACTATTAGCCATCGTTTCTTCCAAAAGCTTCTTCCAAATCTATTCCGTCTACCTCCTCACTTTCTTCTATCTATGATAGGCTTCCATTACTACCACCCTCCTATATTTGTCGCTATCGCTACCCTGACGACATTGTCGTTACCTTCAGTCATCGTCTGCAGCCCCACTTCTACCTAGAAACTGTAACTCTATCTCGCTGCCACCATCGGACACTATTAGCTGCAAGCCCTAACCCTAGAGTGTCCCCTCCCTCACTAATTCTATGGCTTTCTCCGTGTTCATCTTCACCTTACTTCTCAAAGTCTCCACCGCCCTTTCCAGTCAGAACACAACCCATCTATTCTCTGTCGTCTTCATTTTTGGCGACTCCACTGCAGATTCCGGCAACAACAATTACTTAAATACGCCATTGAAAACCGACCATCCCCCATACGGGGAAGACTTTCCTGGAAAAATCCCCACCGGATGATTTTCAAACGAAAAACTGGTGTCGGACTTTTGAGCATCTCTGTTGCGAATAAAGCAAATCGTTCCTCCGTTCCTACAGCTTAATATCTCTAATTTTGATATCCGCACCGGAGTGAACTTCGCTTACACTGGATCCGGCTACGATGACATGACGTCTCAGATTTCACAGGTGATTCCTATGACGAAGCAGTTGTATTACTTTAAGGAGTATATAAAGAGATTGAAGAAAGTTGTGGGGATCAAAGTTGGGGGGGGGGGGGGGGGGTTGGTGTCAATTAGTGCTGGAACAAATGATTTCCCGATTAGCTACTACGATCTTCCTTCTAGAAGAGATGATTTCTCCATGGAAGATTACCAGGATTATATATTGAAGAAGCTTCAGAATATCATCAATGTAACTCTCTCTCTCTCTCTCTCTCTCTCTCTCTCTATATATATATATATATATATATATATATATATATATATATATGTCTTTATTTAAACAGTTTGTTTGATTTTGTGGTGGTGGTTGATAGGAGTTGTACAAGCTCGGATGTCGAACAATGGTGGTTTCAGGGCTACCTCCGATGGGGTGTTTACCAATTCAAATGTTATCCAGATTCTCGAGAACATATTTGATGCATCAGAACACCAATGCTCGAGTCTACAATCAGAAGCTCATGAATCTGCTGCCGCATATTCAATCTTCTTTGAAAGGAAGCCAGATTATGTACACAGATATCTACACTCCGATGATGGAGATGATCCGAAATCCACGAAAACATGGTAAATTTGTGGCATTAATTTTAATTCCCATTAATTTTAATTCATATGTGTTTATTGCATTCTTGTTCGTTTGCTAATTTTATATACACACCTCACCACACCACACCACATACCTCCTACTTTTGTTTTTTGAGTGGCTTATAGGTCGAGTTGGTGTGTGAATTTAAGTGGTTTAGTTATACCTGTTGATTGCAGATCCATACTTGAACAGATGTTGGTACAATGTCTCCCTTTGAACACAGGGAGGCTTTTGTTCTTGACGTTGGTGGAGAGGTGCTACTTGCTCTCACTAGCTTTAAAAATATTGATTATGATGATGATATTAATCTCTTTCCATATGATATTTTGATAGGTCGACCTAGATTTAGGTAACTATGAACGCTTCTTAGACGTGAGGCTTACTAGAGATAACAACATAACCACTGGAAAGATCTATCAGGTACCATTACCATTTACCAAAATTTGTGTTGTATTATTTCTACACTCTGTAGTAGTGATTAGTGCCAGATTCTTTCAGTAATTTGTTCTCATTTTGCCAGTCTGTTCTTCCACTAGGATAGAAAAATAAACTTACCTTCAGTTAGACATTGAATTTAGATACACACAACTTCCTAAATTCTTAAAATTTAAAAATAATTACACTAAGTCAGTTAAGTAAACAACAAACAACACCTTAACACATTAAGGGCATTCTTGAATTTTGAAAAAAAAAATCTTTCACTTTAATATGTTATGTTCCATTGTTCAAATCATATATACTAAGCAATTTGAAGTTGTTATATATCCATCCCAGTGTTCTTAGTTTTCTTTTTGGGTTGGTTTTATTTGTTTACAATTAAGGGGTCAGATTCAGATGCGGAATTGGATTTTGATTCCGATTCCGATGATCATGATCCTCAGACATAATCTACAACTATAGATGCAGCAAATAAGAGAATACAACAAGAGGGGCAAGATGAACTACAACTTAACATCAAAGAAATACCTGATGAGTTTCGATTGCCAACACAAGAGGTTTACTTCTTTTTTCTTATCATTTGTGGTTAAATGACATGTTATGTTGCATTTACTTTTTAAGGTAATGCTAATCTACTAATCTTTGATATATTTTGTATGATAAATTCTATGTATTTTTCACCAAATTCCAATTGTTTCTATAATGTTACATTTTGTTCAGATGTTTCCACCCGTTGAACATTGAACTTATGGAACTAATTGAAGCTTTTGAAAAGCCTAGGCCTATCACCCTACTGAACGAACACTAACTGATACACAAAGAGGTGAATTTGAAGACATGCTTCGTGCCCTAACATTAGAAAGAATTCAATAAAAAGAAGCAACGGGTTTTGCATTATATAATGTTGACGCTGTTGGAGAGGTAAATAAGGGTAAAATCAGATAGTCACTTAACCAGTTTCTTAGAGCTAGGGGTAAATTGGTAATTTTACATTGATGTTAGTAATTATTTTCATAGTTTATCGCCCTATATTGAATGTTTTTTCCAAGAAAATTTGCACAAACTTTCCATTAATAAGTGATGTATGGATAAAATGATATATACCTGGGGAAGTTTGTATGAACATTTTGCCTAGTGTTGTTGAATAAGAAATACCTTTACCTTTTTGTATGACATTAACACATTTTATATTTTCAGAAAATGTTTGCAGTGAAGGCTCAAGAAGCGTTAAAAAAACTTATCATAGTTTAGAAGTTGGTTGAATTCCATGGAAGGTGCAGACTTGTGCTGCTTTAATATGTGGTGCAGAAGAGTTTTTCCCATAATTATGAAGGTTTTGCTAGTTTATGAACAATAATAATAATATTTTTTTTACATATTTCTCTTTTGTCTCTTAATTTTGTTTTATTTTGGTTATTAGAAAAATATTTTTATTAAGGCTAAATGCAAGAAATGGCAAATTACTTTCAATGCTTTCTTAATTATAGCATCTACAACAGATTTACGATGTAAAAGATATTATTTTCATATTTCCCACTTAGTTCTTTTTTTTTTCTTCAGAAAATGGTATGTGTATTAGAAGTTAGCAATGTACTTTTTAATCATTTTGGGAAATAGCAACATATTTTTATAGATAATTCAAAGTAGGATGTCCTAATGTGACCATTGCAAAGGTACAATGCTATGTTTATTTTCAAAAAAGTTATTAAAAAGGAAAGTGTGTAAAATTTTCCGAGGACAGAAAATCACGTAAATTTATTCATGGACTAAAAATCACAAGACAATGGGATTCAGTAATAATCAATAAATTATATTGCTATTTAGGGGTAAATAGATCTAAATACAATGCTATTGAGAGTAAAACCAAAAAAAATATGTTAACAAAAATCATCCATGTTCAATTTTATGAAAGAAAGATTCTATGGTTTAAACCTGACCCGAAACAAATCTTTTGGTAAAACTATGAGTTATCTTTGTTAAATGTGTTTCTTAACTAATTCAACAAATCTTAATAATAACAATTCAAATTACCAAGTTAATAAACAAATTTTAAATATTTATGAAATATTCATCAAATCTAAAATACAAACTTAATCAAACTAGAATAATATGTAGAAGAAAATTTTGATTAACATCCATGACAAAAAAAAAAACCAATTATAATCGAACCAAAAAATTGAACGAACTTTCTTTAACCAAACTGAAAAAAGTCCAAAAAACCAATTCAATTAGACTGAAAATCATTACGTTTTTTTTATTCGAAATGTGATTTTTTTATAAAATGGGAGACCATAAGATCGGGCACACTACCTCCTAATAAATCCTTTAAAGTACCTTGTAAACCCAAATTCATAACTCTTAAACACTAAACAACAAGCTTACCCTAAACTATAAATGCTAAACCTAAAACATACTTGAATTTAAAAAAATATTTAAATTGATTAGCATAATTTTTACCACAACATATTTTATTTTTTGTAACCCAAACCAAAAACACACTTTAATTTTTTATTCCGAAAAGATACTTATGTCAATTAAGTCTCGATCAACATGTTTCATTTTGGTTCAGTATACATTAAAGAAATCGTTAAATTAACATTAATGTTTGTTCCTATTGTTCCAAAATCGCTAATTGAAAATATTGTTTGTTGATACTTCCCATTACGTTAAGTCTTATTTTTAATATGACATGCTTCTTAAAACAAAATAATCGTTTAATTGAAAGTAATTATTGTCCACCGAATGGAAACTAATTGCCGAATCATACATGTTTTCGAATAGGATAATTTCCGAAATAAACTATTTGTACCCGTCGCTTGGCGCGGGTAAACGGTTAGTGTGTGTGTGTGTGTGTGTGTGTGTGTGTGTGTGTGTGTGTGTGTGTATATATATATATATATATATATATATATATATATATATATATATATATATATATATATATATATATATATATATATAAAAGGGACCATTTAAAACAAAACCGATAAGTTGGTTGGACTACCGTGACGCAATAACCCAACTATAAATTTTACAGAGAGAGGAAACACAAAGCTAGTCTAATGTTAATAATACAAGTGTATTTTGTCCTTACATTATGAAAAATTAAGGGATACATGCAGTGGCGGAGGTGGATTGTGTAACGGGCATTATTGCATACTCAATTTCTTGTTCTTTTATTATTTATTAGCTTCCTACAACGTTGAAAATATAAAGAATGTGCAGTATATACTTTGAACGTTTTACCACCATGCATCTGGTCAAAGAAATAACATTGTACTTTCGTTTCTTTGATACTTTTAACATCCTACTTCAATTTAATTATGTTAAAATATGCAGTCTTGGTTTTTAATCAAACCTGTGATTTGGTTTCCGTTGTTGCAAACCCATAAAAAAAATAAATAAATAAATAAATAGCATAATCTGATTAGAAAAAAGAAAATGAAACACATTGCCTTTTGAGAAAGATCATAGCAATAAAACATGACTCTCTTTTGGATGAGGCTAGAGTTTTCTTGATTAATCCTCTATTCTACATTACAAACTACAAAACATCACTACCGTCTTGCCACTTACTTGTTCAACCCTTACCATGTAAATATTATATGCATAATACAGTGATAGATAATATCAATAATATTAAGATAATATCAATAATAAAACATGGATATAGATTTTCAAGTCTAACATCTTAGTAAGAAAAATATTAAGTATAGTTATAAATTCACTAAGAAAAATATTAAGTATAGTTATAAATTCAATACAAGAAATGGAGCATTAGCAGCGGCGACACATGATATTAGCGGCGACATGTAATTGACGCATGTTGCCGCTAATAGCCACCTAATAGCAATCCGCATCAAATGAGCCTCATCCGTTCGATTTATTTTCAATCCAAGGGTGGTAATGGAAAGAAAAAAAAAAGGCGTTGACTTTTCCTTCCAGTGTGTCGCCGCTAATAGTTATTCGTCGCCGTTAATACCTATGTGTCGTCGCTAATACCCGTCGCCGCTAAAGGCCTTTACAGATAACCCAACCCCCCCCCCCCCTTCAGCTTTCTTTCATGTTTATCGTGTCTTCTCTTACCTATGAAACCTCCCGGCCAGCGACCAAGCGACTCCGACCATCCAACTCCCCCAACCGCCGTTTCCTGCCACAAGACCGCCATCACCGCCGACCAAACCTCCATCATCTGCGACCTAGACCTCGATTACCTGCGGACCTAGCTGAAATTCCAAAATTTTGATGATTGAAGGTCGAATTTCTCCTTATTTTCTATTATTCTTTTGTTTTGATGGTAATTTGGGTGATGAATATGTAGTATAATTCTTAGATTTTATTTGGTTGAGTGATTATATGTGTATTTTGAGGTATGGAAGTGTTTATGCATTTTTAGGGATTATATATGTTTTTTTCAGATTTATGCAACATTTTGTATATGTTTTTTAGATTTATGTTTATGCTCAATGTGATTATATGTGTATTTTGAGGTATGGAAGTGTTTATGCATTTTTAGGGATTATATATGTTTTTTCAGATTTATGCAACATTTTGTATATGTTTTTTAGATTTATGTTTATGCTCAATGTGGTGTATTGGCTTGAAAATGAAATTAGGCATGAAATTTAAATTAGATGTATACATTTGTTTGATTTTGTATTAAGATGTATACATTTGTATGAAATTGAAATTGGATGTCTAAAATGGTAGGTGCTATTTGTAACGCTCATGTTTCTAGACTAAGCATTAGTGTGATGATGTAATAGTTAGGATCAACAATTATAACCTATTTTGAAGTAATAAAAAAGAATTACTTGAATATTATGTGAACTTGTGATTTTATGTGTATTATACTTATTTATAAGATAAGATATAATAAATTAAGAATGAAAATAAACATCAAAAATAAAATAATAGATAAACCCAATATTTATGAAGAAAGTTGTAGTGGTCGTGAAAAGGATTCCGGATATATAAAGAACTCCGAAATTCGAGTTATAACGAAGAAGTTATGACATGTCGAAGTTTTACGACTAAACCGGCACGACATTGCGTAACGTGAAAAGTGAATTTTTGATAAATTACTTTTTAGCGTAAGGGATTTAAACAAAAGTTGTAGTAAAGAACGTCCAAATCTGACTTCATATGAGGAAGTTATGATTTTTCTAAGATTTAATATAGCAATACACAACCCGAAATTCAAATTATAGATCGATCGATTTTTAGCCGACACAACCTAAATGAAAATCGAAGATCTCATTAATAGGAGCTCAACGGTAAAAAGACAGTCGAAAACGGAGTCTGTATGTAGAAGTTATGAATTTTGCACAGTCATTAAATAGTGTAATCTTCTCTAAATCAGTCAAAAATTAGCTGATTGAGTCGAAAGGAGAGTTGTAGATCTTTTCAATACCTACGCTTAGATATAAAGAAAATCGAAGATGAAGCTCGTATGTGAAAGTCACGGAATTTAGAAGTCGCAAGGGAGCTGCTGCGAAAGGGGTGACGTGACACAATATGGGCCACTACTTATCCTCCATGTTTTGCCACCAGAATGGTGACACTTGGCACCTACTCGATGATTTTTTGGCTCAAACTCAACGAGTTTGGCCAAAATTCAGCCTATAAATAGCATGCGATGGTGCCTTCATTTCTCACTCCAAAAACCTATTCTCTCTCTCTCTCTCTCTCTCTCTCTCTCTCTCTCTCTCTCTCTCTCTCTCTCTCTCTCTCTCTCTCAAACCCTAGTAACCTCTAGAAATCCCTGAAGCGCCCGAAGGCTCCGAGAAGAAGAGCTTTCGGCTCGGA